TTGCGAATAAACTTTAATTTTATGAAAATCACAAAAAACTCCAAATTTCTCAAAACCTCGCCCACACCTTTTTTTCTCAATTTTTGGCATTTTCTGGATGAAAATACCCTTTACGGTATTCGTTTTACAATAATGTATTGCGACCATTATGGTAATTGAAATACTGTTGTAAATAGGGATAGAATTATGGTACAAAAGATTTTTTATTCTCTCGAGCCTACTATTTATTTACTCCCTCGACAAAAATCCACGCTAGCTCTAATTTTTCAAATTTCAAGTTTTTAGGATATAATCTCTACTTAATTTTTATATGGTTCTCAAAAGTTTAGAATGAAAACACGCTTAAATAGGTGTTTTCGAGTGAGGGAGTAGATCCATATCGTGCTCCCATGGAAACATAGATTTTTTTGAAAAAGGTATACGTGATATTAGCTTTGAAGCTTTTAAAGTACTACGGTCCTTCTATTCGCATAATAGTTTAAAATCTTTAAACCAAAGCTAATATCAGGGCTACCCTTTTTAAAAAATCTATGTTCCCATGGGAGCACGATGTGAATCTACTCTCTCGTTCGAAAACACCTATTTAAGCGTGTTTTTGTTCTAAAATTTTGACAACCATATAAAAATTAAGTAGAGATTATATCCTAAAAATTTTAGATTTGAAAAATTACAACTAGCATGGATTTTTATCGAGAGAGTAAATAAATAGTAGGCTTGAGAGAGTAAAAAATCTTTTGTATTGAGTTGGGCAATGTTACGGTACTTAAATTACCGTAATATTACTTTAAAATATTGCAGTCTTTTAGTTCCCATAATACTCTATGTTATTACAGTACTTTAATTACTGTAATACTCTATGTTATTACGGGAATTAAAGTACCGTAATAGCTGGTTATGTTATTGCGGTACTAGAAGTATCGCAATTCTGTCTCTATTTACAATGGTATTTTAATTGCCGTAATGGTCGCAATGCATTACGGTAGAAAGACTACCGTAATGGGTATTTTCTTCCAGAAATTGCTGAAAATTAGGAAAAAGGGTGTGGGCGAGGTTTTGAAAAGTTGAGTTTTTTTTTTTGCGATTTTCTTAAAATTAAGGTATATTAACGATAATTTTCATATATATATATATATATAATCACATACACATAGGGTTATGTTAGGGTGCTCACACTATAGAGTATTTTATAATTGTACTTAACAAATCCTGGACACTTATATCCCCTTGTTTTATACATGTAGGATTTTTTTAGTAAGTATATTTTTTTAGTAAGTATATTTTTTATCCAGATTCAATTTGGGCCATTCTGTGGCCGATCTGACGATCACAGATTAAGTTTTTTTATAAATCCAAATTAATTGAAATTTTAGGCGTGTGTTTTTAAAAACAAGGAGAGTCTACGAAAAATATCAATTTTTTTTTACATGAAATAAATTGATCAAAATACCCCCAAAACGTTTCGGGGGGTATTTTGATCAATTTGATTTTCACCAGTTTTTTTTTTTTACTTTTTTTTTTTAGGATCGCCTAGATAAGACATATGCCTAAAATTTCAAGTGATTTGAATTTGTAGAAAAAAAAATAAAAATTTAAACATGAAATGAGGTCCTGAAGTCAGGTCGACCACCGGATGGCCTAGATTCACCGTCAATCTGGGTCATTCGTGTATGGGTGTACAACAGTGACCCCCATATATATATATATATATAGGATGATACGAGAGGCTAGGATTGAATAAAAAAAAAAAACACTTGTGCGAAACAAAAGCTTCAAACCCACTGAAAGTTCAATCTACCCCTTTCTTCCTCCTTCCCCTGGTCTGTGATCTTCCCTCTCTCTCGCTCGCCCTCCCTCTGCTCTGCGAAGCCTCTTGTCCTCTCTCTATGAAGCCTTCTGTCTTGCTCATGCTTCTGTCTCCGTTGCCCTCTTCTCTCGCTGTAAAGCTTCTTGCTGCTAAAGCCAAAGCCAAAGCCACGTACGCAGTTATTCAACAAACCAGGTGAGTTCTTCCTTGCTCTCTCGCTTTCTCTCTATGCCACATACAATTCTTCTCTGTTGCCCAACCCACAATCTTTCAATGAACTCTAACCCCAAATCAAGAATAAAACTCTTTTCCCCAAACCAAACCAACACTTTTTATTCAAATCCCAAATCAAAAAATTCCAATAAAACCCTACGTTTTTTCTAATAAAACACCAAAAATGGGTGAGGAAATCACAGACAGAGAAAATAGAAGAGAAAACTACATACGAGAGATGAAATTTTGGATTTGGTTTAAAAAATTAGGTGATTTCAGTTTATCATAGTTTAAATCAAACCTTATCACGAATAAACTCAAAATATTTTCTTTGATGTCCAAAACAATCCCATAGTGGAATTTGTAAATGAAGCCCCCTATTTTATAGTGCTAGATGCAAAAGTAGAAAAAAGTTTTTACTTAATAAATTACCAAAAAGGCTTGCCTCAATGTAAATTGATTTTGTTCTTTTGTTCTTCCTTCTTGTTGATAGAAATTGATTTTTTTATAGTATTTTTTTGTTAATTTTGGTTTGATTTGTGGAATTTTTATTTATCGTTCATTGGGTAAAATGGGTGGTTTTAGTTCGTTTCTATTTTGTTGTTGTTGTTGGTTTTTTTTTTTTTTTAATATATTTTTGATATAGTCCTGAAGTAATTGTAGAACAAAATTTTGGATTGGTTTTTTGTTTTTCTTTTGCAGATCGATTGCTTGCTTTTTTGTTTTTTTGTTTAGTAACATTTGCTAATACTTGAAATTAATGAGTAGAAAATATTTATTCAGAAATGAATATTAAAAAAAAAAATCATGTTTTTGAATTTGCCGTGGAGCATGGATGTGGAACATTTGTGATTCTGAGTTGATGTTATTATTAGTATCATTAATATTATTTTGTTCATCTCTCTCTCTCTCTTGCAAATAGTACTCTCTTTGTTGGTTCCTCAAAAAAGAAACACTCTTTGTTGGTATGCATATGATACTTTTTTCTCTCCTTAAATATGGTATGCATATGATACTTTTTTCTCTCCTTAAATTTAGAAATTTTGACTTCAATAAATACTCTCTAGGTTTTCATTGCCTTGATAAATTTCATTTGTAAGCTTTTAGCAACTTTTCGAACGGATGGTCTTGGATTTGTTTATAATGTATATTACAATTGTTAGGCATTACTTTCTCAAAAAGCATTTCTTAGGCAAATTAACTTGGATTTAGAATAACATGATTTTCTGGACTCATTATAGTCTTCCATGGCTAAGGTGATTGACACATTGGAAAGACACCAAATGCATTGAAAAAGGTGATTGACACATTGGAGTCTTCTATTGCTAAGTCTAGGGTTATGATGGATTATTTTATTGAAGAGGCCGGTAGGGCAAAAAATGTCACTTTCATTGAGAAAGGTCTTGAGAATCACATAACTAGAAAAAGAAAAAAACTGAAAGGGAAAGAAGGTAATGTTGTTAGGAATTGGTTGCATACGAAGAATGAATTGGACTCTAACTTCTTTTATAGAGTTTAGCTTGATGAGATTGGGAGGTTGTTTGGTATTTTATGGGTTGATTCAAAATGTATATTGTCATCCCAAATTTTTAATGACGTGGTAACCTTTGACATCATATACCAAACAAATGAATACAATATGTCCTTTGGCCCAATCCTTGGAGTTAATCATAATGCTAACAACAATTTTCTCGGATGTACTCTCATCTTCACTGAGATTACAGAAAATTTAATTTAGTTATTTGAGAATAGGCTAGAAGTAATGGGAAGTTGCCAACCAGATACAATTATCACTGATCAGGCTTTAGGTATAACGACTGTAGTTAAGACAATTTTCCCGAATACTAATTATCACTATTGCAAGTGGTACATC